GTTTGCACCTTTGCACCCGAACGCGTCACCTTGCCGCTGATAACGTAATCTATCAGCCGTGTTTGACTTGCACAGTCAGGTCCCGGCTGTTCCTCCTCGCCCACAGCCTCGGCACGTTGCTTTATCCCTACAGCCCGCACGCTGCTTTATCCCTACGACCTGCAGCTGCGGCGTGCTGGAACCGCACGGAGCGGAGAGCCGATACTCACTCCAGCCGTTCCTCCTCTTTTTTCCGCAGATCAAAGTCCCGTTGAACGACTTCCCAAACATGTTTGGCTTCTTCGTCGGTTAGCTTGGAGAGGTCCAGCTTCCTCCCCATCTCGAAGCCGATCCCGTTACTCGCTCCCCTGAGCGCTCGCTGTCCCGCACCCTGGGATGCTGACGGAGCGGGAAGAGCTCAGCCCCACCTCCGTGGCTGCCCCGTATAAAGGGGCAGAGGCAGAGCTGCGGGCAGGCCAGCCGGCTCCTGGCAGCGCCGCAGCCGCTCTGCCGGGCGAGCCTGCCCGCAAGAGACGGCCGGCGAGCAGGGCTGGCACGGTGCCTATCGGCTGCGGGGACTCCTCGCCACCCGGGCGGGCAGCCCTGCCTTCCCCCAGGGTCCTGCCCAGAGCTGCAGACGGCTCAGACCTCGTCCGCCTGGCTGGGGCTACACGAGATGTTTACTCTCTGCCTGCTTTATGCAGGGTGTGCGAGTGAAATGAAGCCTTCAAACGAACGCCTCCCCGGGGAAGGCAGGCCACGGGGTTTGGGAGGGAGCTGAGCATTCCCGGGAGGAGCTGTGCCTGCACACCCGGGGGGACCGGCTCCATCACGGGGAATCTCGCCCCACCACGACCCTCTGCTCCCCAGCTCGCTCTTCTGTGTCTGATCTCACCACACCAATTTTCTCTCCACCAACAGTCTAGGAAGGAAAACTTAAGTGCATCTGCCTTTCCCCCACACCAGAGCCTGGCTTCTGGCGTTGCTCTGACAGCAATTTGGGAAGCTGAGCTTTGCTTGTGGCAAACAGCTTAATTAGGACACAGCGCTCCCCTCGTTTACCGCGAGCAAGAAAAGACGGTTTGACAGGATTTTAAGAAAAGTGCTAAACACATCACATAGCCAAAGAGATATATATTGCAATAATCTGACTACCAGGGCTGTTCTCTTGCTCTCTGTGTCTAAGTAGGACCCTGGATATTAAAATAAACGCATTTCTCATCTTCATCACAGCAAATATTGATGCAATTCACATTTTTTTTTTCTCCCTGACAGTAATGTAAAGAGGGACCAAGGGGGCAAGACCGAAGAGGAAAACTATTCTGCCTGGTGGGACTAAGATCCCTGCTGCCACCCACTCTGCTTGCCCAGGGGTACATGGAATTAATTATCCACCCTGGTAACTCATTTGAAACAAAGATTAAACTCTATGAACAGAGCATTTTGAATCCGAACTTGGATGAATTTTGCGCAGAAAAAGTGATGATTACAGATGCAGTGTTTGAGCCTGGATATCAGGGACACACGATCTTCACTGGAAGCCAGAAATTGATTTCAGCTCCTCTTCCAGCTGAGATACAGTCCCGACAAAAGCAATTAGTTTATTGGCAGGAGCCAGACACCGCTTGGGCTGCTCCTTATGTAAGCTTATGTTTGAGAGCCCTTGCGCGCCCCACTGCATCCAAACAGGGAGCGGGTCAATAGATACTAATTAACATCACAATGAGACCCTGTTCTCTGGCTAGTCAGTACAATCACGCCAGGAACTCAAACACCGCTCAGATCTGGATATTTTCTTCTCCAAAAGGACGAAGTTGCATAAAATCAAAAAGATGTGGCCTGCTATGCAATGGAAATATGAAAAATGCAAGTGCTCAGCAGTGCCAATACCCCCTAAAAAATGCTGGTTTACTAGAAAACCACTGTGTGGGAAATGTCCCTGGTGCAGGTCCACAGAATAATTTCCAAGTATTCCACTGGCCTGGGAACTGAGTCTCTTTAGGGAAACTCTCCTCCATCAGCTCACTGGTGTGTGTAACAGCAAAGAGATTTCTTTTTTCTTCTTTTTTTCCTCCTCTTTTCTCTTTCCTCTTTCAAAGGAGTTTGTTGGGTTTTGTAGCAGTTCAGACCCAGCAATCACCATCGCTTCTAGCGATTCTCTGCTTTGGGAAGGACAATTAAACCTGCCTGCCCACAGTTCCCTCCCCCATCATACAGCCATGAATAAAGGCTCCCAAATCTTACAAACTCATGAAAAAGAGAAAACCCACACTCAGAACCACTCAGGCAGACACTATCAGATGGAAGTGTTCAAAAAATGTGTAGATGTGGCACCTGGGGGCACAGTTTAGTGGTGGAGCTGGCAGTGTTAGCTTAATGGTTGGACTTGATCTTTATGATTCTATCTTGTAGAGCCAGACGATGTTATATGTGTGCCTAAGTCTGCCAGCACCTGCAGTGACCACATGTGCATGGGGTGGAAGTCAGGAACAGGGATGTAAAGGCAAAGTTACGTGTTTCCTAATAGCTGGAGGCTCAGATGGGTGTTGAGTCCAGTTGAGTTGGGGATCTGGGCACCCTCGTGGCAAAACAGGAGAGGCAAATGCCACAAGCTAAGCCTCTCCTGGGAAACCAGGTATAGATGGATTTCAGGCTCCATTTCTGATTTTCAGTATTGCCAGACGATAAAATAATGGATTTCTGGGATACCTTCTTTAAGAGAAACATGCCTTCTAGCTGCAGGGCTACTCTCTTAAAAATAATAGTCACATGAGTTGCTATCTTTGCAGTTCTTGGTAATCGTTTGTGAGACAACTGTGAACTGATATATAGGACACGTGGCCTGGACTTTCTCCAGTCATTCATTTTACAATGTTTTAGCTGATAACTGGAAGTAAATCCATAATCAGAGTTCAACAAAACTGATGCATGAAGATAGTATACAGTTGCTTCTGAAGACAGCAAATGCCACTGCAGCAAAACCAGCCAACACTCTCACTTTCCTGTCCTCATTTTCTTCCTGAGAAAGAAGTCCCTCCTCCTCCAAACCAAGGGGCAAAACCCCAACAATTTCTCCATGTATAACAATACCCAGCTTTCCAAACAGCTGCCCTAAGTGCTGCAGAGATGTGCCCAGACAAGGTGCTGCAATGATGCTTGGGGTGGTGGGTTGATTTACAATGGCAACAGCTCCAGCTTTGCTCCTCACTTCATGAACACTGATGGGTGTTTTGGCTCCCATCAACACAGGGTCATCCCAAGCACCTGGCCAAGCTAGGGGAGTTTCCAAAAGCCAGGTGGAGTCAGACCAGGAGCATCCACCAGCAGCCCATCCTCCAGCCCATTTCCAAGCCACAGGCCAGGAGGTCACAGGACCCTTATTCACAGGATCATAACAAAAACAGGAGCTCCAACAAACATGTTGCTGCTGACCTTAGGAATTTCACGGCGGCCTCTGCTCTCCCCCCATCCTCCTGCAATCATCTCCCAGTCATGAGATCTCTCAGAGCTGGGATGGCATTCCTTTTCCCTTCAGTTTCTTGGCAGTTTTACAATGACATCTTACCATCCCCATCACGGTGGAGAAGAACAAGCAGGGCAGGGAAGGGGTGTACAATGGCACCGCTATTTCTGTATGTGACTCATGAGGGATTGCTGTGGGTTTCATCTATTAATAGGACAGTTAAATTATGTTATGGCATGGCCAAAGCTCATTTTGAATGACCCTACATTGGTTTTCTGTGGCCAGTGACTCTGTGGGGGAAGACCCATGATGGAGCAGACTGTGCCTGAAGGACTGAACCCCATGGAAAAAATGACCCACATTCCAGCAGCTCATGAAGAATTGTTGCCCATGGGAGGGACTCCATGGAGAGCAGGGGAAGGGCTCCTCTCTCTGAGTGGCAGAAACAACTTGAGATGAACTGATCATAACCCCCATTCCCCATCTCCCTGCACTGCTGGGGGAGCAGGTGTTTTTAGGATTTATTTTACTTCTCATTATCCTGCTCTGATTTTGTTAGTAATAGATTTAATGAATATCCCCACTTCAAGCCTGTTTTGCTTGTGATGGTAATCAGTGAGTGATCTCTCATGGTCCTTATCTCGACTCATGAACTCTTCATTATGTTTTCTCTCCTCTGTCCAGTTGCAGAGGGGAGTGAGAGAGTGGCTTTGGTGGGTACCTGGCATCCAGCCAGGGTCAACCCACTACAGACCCCAACAACCTCACTTACAGCAAATGGCCACTCAACTTTAATTATCGTGGATAACAATGCTCTGACATCTGTTGCAATTAGAAAACTACTATCAAGGAAGTCTTGAAAACAAAGTTTGTGGAGTATCAGTTATAGGGTAGAAGCTGTAAGAACATATTCCCTAACCATGTGAAAATTATGGAAGTCCTCACAGCCCCCATAGAGTCTCCACAGCCCTCACAAGCCCCATAGGACTCTCAGATTCCAAAGCCCTTTCAGACCCCATTGCCCTCACTGTTCTCATAGACCCTTTAACCCTCACTGACCTTGTTGACCCCATACCCCTCACAGACCCCACACCCCTCACAGCCTCCATAACCCTCACAGACCTCAGATCCCATAGCCCTTACTGCCCTCATAGCACCCATAGACTTCACAGATCCCACAGACCTCACAGCCCCCACAGATCTCTCAGCCCTCACAGCCCCCAGAACCAGGGGGTGTCTGGGCACAGCCAGAGCCTGAGCAGACACCTCACTCATCCCCAGGTGACAGCACCGTGGTGTGGCCATGCCAGATGTGCCCTTCTTGCCCTTCTGCACCCTCCTGGGAATCCTGGGCTTGCTCTGCGTGGCCCTGGTGGGCATCTGGTGCCACCACTGGTGGGGGTGCTTTTCCCTGGATGTTGGTACCCAGACATTCCACTGGCACTTGATGCTGATGTTTTCTATTTTGGAGGTGGGGATCACATTTCTTTTGAGGTGTGGGGTCATAATTCCTCACTTGGTTAGGGAAATTAATTTTGAATCCACACGTTGGTTGGTCTTGGTGAATTTATTTGCTTTTCCTAGTATACAGTGCTATCGTTTGAACTGCTGTTGCTCCAGTGGGAATGGAAAAGCCAAGCTCCAGAGCTTTTTGTCCTGGTACCTTTTCTGTCCTGACACGTTTCGTTTGAGAATTGTGACAGGACGTTTTCACCTTCGGAGCTGCATTTTGGGTTGTTTGTTATGTACACACCGCCACCTCGTGGAGCTGTTGAACAGCGACAGTGGGAACGTCGGCGTGTCCTTGAAAAAGACGTAAATGTACCGGGGTTATCCAAATGTGAAGATCCAAAGTTGAAAACGTCCTCCCCCGCTGCCAAAGAAAATGTGCCAGAACAGAAGAATTTCACCGACCTTCCCTTCCATTTGAAAACTTGTATTTGCATCACAGTCAAGTGGGAGTTACTTTTCCTTGCAGCCTGAGAACTGCACACACCACCATGGTACACGGCACTTTCAACCTCTGCTGTAGGTAGCGTGATGCACTTTCAGTCTTGCAGAGTCCAAAAGATCCATCTACTTCTCACATAGGAAAACACATCCAGCAAACTGCTCCATGGAAACTTTGAGGCTTCAGCAGAACCACCAAAGGCCAAGAGGACTTAGGGCACTTTTTCTTCTCGCTGCACACCTGGCCAAGTGTTGCTGAGCACAAGGACCCTTTTCCCCCTCTTCCCCAATCCCCTGTGGAAACTGGGCACCAAAAAACCCTCCTGGGCCTCTGTCTGTGACAAAAGGAATTTTATATTCCCATGCTGGGGTAAAGGAAAGTGCTTGCAGAGAAGGGGTCTTCCTCGCAGGCTCACATGGCCCCAGCACACACAGCTTCCCAAATCAACTCTCCACAGAGCTCTGGCAGCACAGAAACTGCTCCGCAGAGCAGGTTTGAAACGCCAGGTTTGAGATAGCGGGGCTGATGTCATTCTTCATACCTCCAAGGGCTGGAACAGGGAGGAACAGAGCCAAGGTCAGAGCCTAGATCTGTGGTGACCTGAGAAACCCCTCCAGCCAGGGCCATCCCACCCGTGGCTGCGGGGGCACAGAGCCTTACGTTGTCAAAGAATGGCTGGAGCACCTCAGCCAGCTGTAGGGCTGGTGTCAGATGTCTTTCTCCAAGGACAGAAATTCAAGGACAGTGGCAGTCATCCTGACCAGCTCTCCATCTGCATCCCACAGGAGCTGCACGAGGCTTTCAGTCAGGCTGCACATTCTTTTGGCCTGTGAGGAACACAGTGCTGTGCTGTGAAGCCATGAACGGCTGCACCACCAGCCCCGCTCTGGCGGGGCAGCCCCACGTGCTGCCGTGGGGCCCAGAGGCCACAGGCCTGTCCTGAGGGACTCGGGCAGCTGAGCGGGGAGGCAGCTGTATTTTGGGTCACCCCAGCAGCAACGGGCCAAGGGCACACAGTGGAGAACGCCTCTGCCTCAGCTCCATTCACTGGGCTTTCCCTGCAGAGAGGTGGAGACAGCTCAGGGAGGCAGCGCTCGCCATCAGACTCACCTCCACAAGGAACACCATGGCAGGGAGCTCCCAGGGACACATCTCCTCGCTGAGCAGCTCCAGGAGGCAGCAGACGATGCTGCAACACCAGACTGTGCAGGCAGAACCCATCTCCCTGGCAGGGGGAAAAAGGCACGGTAATCCCTGAGCTGGGTGACTAAGCCTCTTCTGGGACTGACTCACAGAGGCCTGGTCTTTTCCAGCACCCTGGGAGGGGACAAGGGCACTTTCGGAGGTGGCTCCTCCTGTGCACTCACCTCTCCCAGCCTTTTTCACTCTCAGCCATCCCTCGGTGACAAGGCCCTCTCGCCCACGACCACAGGCACTGTGTGTGGTGCCCCATGCACAGGCAGAAATGACAGGGGCAGTGGGGACAAGGGGGTCTCACCTGGCCAGCAGACCCACTGCATAGTGTTGGGTGTCAGCGTTGAGCAGCGTGTCCCAGCCACACTTGCATTCCAGTGCCATCACCACACCCTCACACTGCAGATGGCACAGCAGGGCTTTGATGGTCAGCACTGCAAACCTGTGTGCAGAGCAAAGCCCAGGTCATGCTGAGAGCCCTGGTCCCAGCCCCGAGGGCCTGGGAGGGACAGGAGGACTGGGATGGAGCACCTGTTGGGGTTGGTGGGAAGGCTGTGTTGGTCCTGGCATTCCCTCCAGAAGGTGTCATCCTCCTCCAGCCTATGCACTGTGTTGAAGAACATCTGAAAGAGCAGATGCACAAAGAGGTTGGGGAAACACTCCCTCACTGTACGTGGGCACCAGGGCAGCTGGAGGATCGTCCACAGCGCCACGTTTGCCTGCAAAAAAGTAAAACAGCTGGAGACAGTGCTCAGTGCTGAGACATCCACGTGGCAAGGCCCGAGCACGGGAGGGAGAGGCCAGGGGAGACACAGGAGGAGCACCTGGCCTGGTGCCCCTGAACCTGCCCCTAACCCAGGTTTCCAGCCCAGTGCCTGAGGCAGGGAGATGCAGTGCAGGGGGAGGATGAACAGCTGCCCTGGAGGCGATGTGGGAGTGAGCAAAGTCCAGTTCCAGAAACTCAGAAACCCCATCAGAGGTGCACATGCTGCAGGCTGGCCAGCTTCCCAGGACAAGGGCAAGTATCTCGAGCACCGACTGTGCAGTCCGACTTGAAAAGATGATCGTCCTCCACAAGGTCGCTGCAGCTCTGCAGGGTCAAACTCTGTGTCAGCAGGGTCTAAGCCACAGTGCCACGGCCTGGGCAGCTCCCAGTCCCAGGTGAAAAACCCACAGCACCCTGAGGAGCAAGGAGGGCGGGTGGGAGCAAGATCCGTGGCTGGCATGCCAGGGCTGGGAAACAGGGGAGTCAGAGGCTCCTGGAACTCTCAGCCTGACAGACACCTGGGATGGGCTCTACAGGGTGATGGGCTGGTGAGCCCTGAGCCCTCGAGGCAGGGGGGCCCCATACCTGTCACATGATGGGGCAGAGCGCAGCACAGTCACCACCACATCCACGGGGTGTGCCTCGGCCAGATCCAGAAGAGTCTTGTCTAGTCTGTGCTCAGGAGACACACTGGACGTGAGCCACTGGTGGATGTACCTCACGAAGGCTGGCACCTGGAGGGGGCATGGGGGAGATTTGGAGAGCTGCCAACTTTCCCAGCTTCTCCCAAGAAGTGCTTCCCTTCCCACCACTCTGTGCTGGCCTCAAAGGCTGAGAGGGCCCAGCGGATCCGGCGTGAGGGGCTGCACAAACCCT